AGAGGAAGATGGACAAAGGATAAGATCTGATAGCAGGACCTGACATATGAAAACACTGTTTCTTTGAATAGCCAAGTGAAATTAATGAAGATTAGATGAGCTCCATTTGCTGTAGCCAAGAACTGATTATTTACCTTTATTAGCTCTCAGGGAAGGCTCTACAACACACTCCTTTTTATTTTTGGCATAGAAGGAAAAACATCTTTGAGCACCCTGGTCTAATGGAAGGTGTCCCTGTCCATGGCAGCAGTGTTGAGACTAGATGATCTTTAAGGTCCTTTTCAAGTCAAACCATGCTGCGATTCTGTGATAATATATACTTCTTTCCCTTGATGAATTGTCACAGGTTTTAATTGCAACATTTTTCAAACCAAACTTCAACCCTGGTTCTGGAGGTGCACATGAATATAATTGCCCACAGCTTTTACAGATGTAGCTATGGAGCATAATTTTCATATATTACAGCAAATCTTTCCACTTGTTTCACTCCTGTGACCTCAGCAATGGAGGAAATAGTTCTTTCCCAGTTTTAGCTCTGTAGTGCTCTGGGGAAGAAGTTGCTTTAAACAACTCAAGAAGTGCTTGACTAATATGCAGTTCTGTTTACATGCATATTACAAATAGACTGGTCAATGCCATAAAGCAAAAGCCAGTAAAACTTGGATTTATAATATTCCTGCAGCGCACATCTTGACTACACCAGTGAGTTCTGTGACACTACTGATCTCAACAAAAAAAGGGTCTAATTCAAAAAGGGTCTAAAATGAGCACTCTATCTGATCCTACCTTACTTGGTCCATAGGATAACTCATTAAAGATGCTTAAATAAATAATAAATAAAAGGAACAAAAGGTAACATCATGTTATCTCTGGTTCACTTCCTTTAGGAGACACAGGACAGAATTGCAGCCAGTTTATTATTTGAGTACTCTGCAGATGAAGGATCAAGTAGAGATCAGTTAATTAAAAAAAAAAAAGAGGATATTATTAGAACATCATCATTAAAGGGGGAAATTGTATGAAAGCCAGGAAATTCCTTGTTTAGTGTTCACAAAGACCTGACCGCTTGAGCTTCCTCATTAGGAGAGAAAACTTACTCTACCAGAGGGCACACAGATTACAAGGTGCAGAAGAGGACGAAGGAAAAATGCTCATTCTTGCATCAGGTAGAAAAGGGCATCAGTGGAGACTAAGTCCACCCTGACAAAGCTTTCTGCAAGGGACCAGTGCAAAACCCCCAAACATGCTCTTACTGCTTTAATGTGACAAAAGATAGCTATTTGCAAAATAGAAAACTAGGGCAAAAATCTCATGTTTTTCATGCAAATTGCAGACACCCTTCCTCCCCTCGGACCATCCCCAGAAAGGCTGCATCCAGGAATGCCACAACAGGTGGTGGTGTGCCCTTGAAGGTGGGGAAGGCAGGGTGGCCACCCCAGGGAGAGCATGCAGGGGTTGCAGGCACAGTGGTTGGCACCTTGCAGGGCCCAACAGAGCTCTGCTGACTGGGACAGCAGCTGGAGTCACCTCTAAGGTACAGGCATAGTGCAGCCAGGCACGCCGGTGAGCCTGAAAGCCGGCTGTGGTGGAATGCATTAAAAATCCCGTGCCCAAGAGGCAAGTATAGGACTGTAGCTGTTCCTGAAACTCGGCTTCCCCAGCTTTAGGCTCCTTCCTCACCCCCATTCCCACGACTCGGCACAGTTGGGGATCTCTTCTGCTGCCTCAGCCAGCTGTCACTCCCTGGCCATCTCTCTTTGAGCCCATGAGTCACTTCCTCTCCTCAGATCCCACCTTTCAAAACTTCCTTTTTCCTTTTCGGGGGTATGTGTCTGAAAGCCTTTTCTGAAAGAGGGCATTGGGCTTACCATGGACAAAAGCACTTCTGGGAAGCAGCATGTTCTCCTGTCTAAGGACACATAGACACAAGACCTTACAGTCACATTCCTGTGGTCCCCATGGTGCTGGCATGCACAGCTCCACACCGACCTCCTCCAGTTCTCTGCCCTGACAAACTTCAGCTGTGGGGACTGGAAGAGGGCTTCTTGCCCCATATTTTGCCTGCAGGTGTGCATAGACAGAGGGAAGAGGAGAGAAAGGAGAGGCCCAGCTCATCCCAATTTCCTTTGCTGGCACCAGCTGCTGCCTCTTGTTCACAGAGCAGCAGGCCTGGTGTTCACTCATAGCTGGAGAGAAGCAAGAAAGTAAACCAAAAATCCTTTAACTTAAAAAATGGAGTTCCTTTCTTTTATCCTTTTTTTTTTTTTTTTTTTTTTTTTTTTTTTTTTTTTTTTTTTTTTAATCTGTTTTGAATTCAGTTTTTCTCTACAGCTATGAAGGTTAGAGATCTGTTTCTTGGAGAGCAACAGTGAACCCTCCTAAAATTAGTGACAGTGTCAGAAACTCCTCTAGCAAGCCAGTAGTGCCATACCCTGGAAAGCTCCCAGGTCTTCATGATACCCCCCTTGTGTGGGATGCAGAGTTTATGTGTTCCTACCCCTCATAGGCAATGGGTACCAGGAAATTTAAAGGGATGTGGGTGGAGAGGTGTGTGGGGGAGACCTGTCAGGGTTTGTGTGGTGGTTCAGGCACAACTTGTTGCCTTGGAGATTTCTGTGCTACCAGCAAGGTAATCTTATTGGCTAACAACTTAACCTGCAGGTACAAAGGCCAAATTCTGCCTGCACTTAGAAATTCAGAATGAAGCCATTAGTTTACTATCCTATTTTTCACTGTATTTTCAGGATTATACTTTTGAATGAGAGTGTTTTGACTTCTTTAGGCTTCAAACTATTTGAAAAGATGGTGTTTTTTTTCTCCAGGACCTCTGAGGCCTGATGTTTTGCCTACCTGTAAGGCTGTTATTGCTTCTTTGCCATGTGGTAAAGAACCTATTAGGACAGGAAACATAAATTTTGCATAAAAAGATTAATAAATTGCCATAAAGTCAAAATAGGAACACACTCCCTTTCAACAACACTTCTAAAATGTTTTTTATGTTCACAGGATTTTTAAAAGACAAAACCCACAAAACTCATCTTAGCCCAAAGTCTAAATAAAAATATATTTTTCAGATGCAACTTTTTTCCAACACAGTGTTGCTGTAAATTTCTTATCAAGAAGTAACAAAGAAATGGATTTCTCTTTTCAGATCAAGAGAGAAGCTTTGGTAATGGCTGTATTCATTCATCTTTCCATTCCAAACATCATCCATCATGCCTTACATCCCTTACACCGGACTGCAGAAAACATACCACAAATTCTACTTGGAATAGCAATGCATCTTGGACAAAGCTGACTAAATTCAAAATTAAGTTTTCAACAACTGCATGTTAAAAAGAAAATCAGTGAAAGAAAAACAGCGAGCTCTACTGAACAAACATCCCACAGTTAAAAAAAATATGTTTTGATTGATGAAGGAAAAAGCCATGACATTTTAGGTGGCTTAAAAGAAATTTCAAGGATCGTATTAAAAAGAAAGTTGGCATTCTATTAAAATAGAGTTATCCCAAGAGATAACTGGAATATACTGGGAAACAAGGACATAGTCTGGCTTTTACCATTTCTCAAAGCAGTTCATTAAAGTTTCTTTTCTTCATCTCATGTCCCCAGTTGAGGGAGTTTACATTCAAGATCATCAACTTTCTTGGTTATGAAGCAGCTCTAATCCACTTACTTGATCCTCCTGCAATCAATTAAAGCCATGCTAATCCTGTGCTGGCCATGTACAACGTGGAAAACTAAATGTATCACATTATCTACAAGAAAAGTATTCAGGAATCTAGATCTGAATCCAAGACACTTTTACCTCTACAGAAAGGTCAGGATGAAATACGCTATAAGATTTATGGTATCTACAAAAACAGCAAGGTAAGCTCTAAGGAGAAGCAATATCTTTCATCAGATCAACTGGTCCAGCTGCAAAAAGCAGACAACATTTCAGGTACAACTACGGGCAACATCAGAATTTTACTTTAGATTAGCCCTGCAGGGAAAAAAAATTCCTTTAGCATTGGAAATTTACACAAATAACCCTTAATAAGGCAATTTTACAAAAACTCTTTATGAAAAACATTTTTGTGGTGTAATTAGAAATAAATTTTCAACTCTTATTTTTATTAGAGCAACCCATAGGAATTTGTATGCTAGAACTAATAATGCTGATGCCTTTATCAAAATTTATTGTATTTGTAGGATTGGAAGCCTCTGCCCAGTCTCACAGATTTTTAAACTGAGTACATTGATTCCAGAGGGTTGATGGTACTTTTCCAATGACTTAATTTCTATTCTTACAGACAGTATGAATCACATACTTTCATGAGAAAGTGTAGGTCAATGGAATTACTATGGAAAATGCAACTTCCTTTTGACTGAACTTGCCAAACGAATGTCTTCACTTACAGTACATGAATGCTACTCTAAGGGCATCTTTGCAAAGCAGTACCTCTTTGACAGAAGCAACCTGCTGCTATTCTTTCTTGTATGTGCCTGAGCTTGTTTATCTACGTCCAGTCCTTTATGCAGGCAACAAGACAGCACAAGTGTTGCCATGGGAATATGATGCTTGTGTATGTCATCCTCCCTGAATTTTGTCCTGAATTTCCACTACTGTACATTTTGGGTGGGATTCTTGATTATTTGCGCAATTGTAGTTGCCTACTCCTGGACAAGGCCATAACAAGTTCCTCCTCTGTGTATATTAGCTACCATTGCTGTACTGTATCCTATTTTATTTCTCTTTTACATATAGAAAGAGGAGTGCAGTGTAAATTTATGGAGACAAAAAAAAATAGAAGCCATATAAACACTGAGCAGCTCAATGCAATGGTATTGTTTGGTTCACAGACAGCCTCTCCAGCACAAAGGAAATGAGGTGTGCCCACACTGAAAAGAAACAGATCCCTTCTGCGTGGCCAGGGCCCTAAGGATTCTGCCTGTGAGGCTGCTGGTGCTCATGCCTTGGGCCCTGGAAGAAAATTGCTGGGACCTTCTTGTCTTACCTCCTTCCTGGGCAAGTGCAGCTTCCTCCTCTCTGGGTGGTCTTTCCAGCAATGGAGGTCTTGTCCTTCTGCGCTGGTGTGACCCAGGAGTGAACTCAGCTCATTAAATGTACTTGCTTTTCTTTTGAAAAAGAAAAGGGTAGAAATAGATAGATCCAAGTTATGACAATAATGCATTTATATGAAAAAAATAAAGACAGTGCACTTGTTGTTGTAGAAATCAACAGCATTTCACCTCTGTGATACTTCTTTTTTGAGAAACTGTGCCTGTCAGATCAAGCATTTCAAGACACGTCATTTCCAGAAGAGAGGAGTTAGACACACTCTTGATCGTGTGCTTCTGTTTATTCTGCGTAAGGGATCTAGGACACCTGTGTTAGTTTTAAAGCTACTACATGTACAGCACTTGACTGCTATATTTTGGCAAGTCCCAGCTGTTATTTCACATGTGTGAACTAAGAAAATACCCAAGGTAAACACAGACTTAGAAGAAGTACCAAAAACATTTACAATAAAGTGCAAGTATAGCCCAGTATGTTAACCTGCTAATATATACAGTGTGCTGGCCCTGATCTATTTCCCTTTAGAGAGGCAAAGGAAAAGAGATGTAACAAAGCCTGTATGAAGCACCACAACAAGTTACCAGTTTTTTCTCCTAAGGTAGCACCACCACCCTGAATTGCTTTTCTCTTACTTCTCTTTCCTCACAGTTATTACCAGTCAAGCTTACCCAAATGCAGGCAATGCAGAATAGAAACATTTTTTTCTGTTAATTTTGCACATCTGACAGAATTTAATTTAAAAATCAGTTTAAATCCAGATTACTTACATGTGTGCACATGCTCACACTCCCCCTCTACATACACAATGTTAAAAGGACATTACAGATGATAATTTATTTTGCTCTGCTCTTGCTGCATTTCATAATATCCCTTCTCTCTTGAAATACTGCCAGAGAAGATTGTCTTTAATAGACTTCAATGGTGTCAAAAGAAACTCAGGAAATGAGGACTGAGGTGAACCTAAGGTCCACTGTGTACCACCAGGAGTCTGATTATACACACCGCTTTGTACAGGAGGCAAAGATCTGCACCCCTGATGTCTTGCCTTCAAAATCCAGTATTCTGTCCACTTTCTGTCTCCTATAATTAAAGCCCATTATTTTGACCTGCTTGGTTTCTTGTCCAGAAGTGATGTTCTTTTACAACCTCCTCTTGCTCACGCTCAGTTTTGAGTTACGTCTCAGAACCTCTTAGATTTCATTAGAGATGAGTTTTACTAGAAAAAGAGGGCTACTTTATTTCCATCATTTCCTGTATGTGGGTCACATCCTTGTAAGTACAGTCATCATCTCTGTAAATACTATCCTTAGAGGTAAGCTTTCCAGCTGCCTCCTGACATGTCCTGACGTAACCACCCTGTAGTCTGTGAGCCGAATCTTCTATGTGGCAAACAAATAAAAAAATGAGCTATTGATTCAAATTAAATGAGTCAAACAAGGAAATTCAAGGCAGCAACCTGAACCCAGATTAATGTTTCCTAATTTATTTAAGCCTGGAGCCTAGCAGATATGAAAAGCTGTAGTAAAAAATCTTAGCTCTTCATTAGTGACAAGACTAAATTTTTTTATGTGATTTCAGCACTTTGTGTATCCAGGATCAGCTCAAGAACCAAAGGAACATTTCCAAGTGTTTTAGCTCTCACTTGTTTAATTAGTTCCTGATGTAAATGAGACCTGTTCTTACGAAGTTATGCAAGCTTGCTGTGTAATAACCACATGCCATTTTGTGATTAACTAATTTCTTGCTCAAAAGCTTTCAGAAGTAAAAGACAAGTATTGTATTTGTCCCATGTTTGACATGGCAACTTTCAATTGAAATATCATGACCCTCTAATTATAGGTGCTTCAAACTCAGTAATGTTTTGCTTACATCACTCACTACTTCCATTCATCATAATCCAGGATTGTTCTAGTTCACTCAGCAGTAATTCTAGCTGGCTTTCATCATTCCCATGGAAAACATATACGAACAATTAAATCTCTCAGCAGAAGGAATCAAACTCATCTGGAGATTTATGAAAGCATTGCAAAAAAAAAAAAATCATGTATATATTTATGTGAACAATAGCAATGAATAATTATGTTAAGTATCTGATAACAATACGGCTCATTTTATCAATGGTGAAACACTGATTTGGTTTGATTCTGGAGAACTTGCTGCATAACCTAAAAAGAAGGAGAGGAGGAGGAAAGACAAGGAAAAGGTTTATGTGCTTATCAATAGAAGTTCATAGAAAGACCCCTATCCAGTGCAATCTAGAAAAGATTAATTTACTATAGTTATATAACCATGAAATATTTAAGTATATATTTAGAAACAACAAAGTACATCCCATTATTTTAAGACAATGAGAGCAGGTGCCCAAGGCAGAGAAAATTTTGCCTTACTCATTTCTTATCCTTACAGGTTTGTGCATGCTGACCTCTGATCAACAATCTGCATTGTCCATTCTGCTCCACCTGCTCTGATGACTTGTTTGAAGCCCTGCAGAAAATTTGTGTGAGGGCAGGCAATGAAGAAAGGTCTCCCTGCCCCATGCTGTAACCATGAGACCACTCTTCTATGTAAGAGCCTGAAAATATCACAGTATCAGGTGAGAGGTACTTTTATAGCTTTCCATGTATTTTAGTCAACATAGCTTTGCAATACTAGAGAACAAGCAGTAAGCATAATGGTTTGAGGGCTGATAGCTCTTTATGAAATATTCACATCAGGTTTATACTGACTTAAGGTTGTCTTTACAATCTCCCAATGTGTCCTTCCAAGCCTTTAAAGAAAGAAATTAGGTTTAGCATTAGCTTCCTAAAGACTACAGTTGTGTTTTTATAAAGAGGGAACATAACTGATGGATAGCTCTCTACGTGTAGATAATGTTAGTAATTGTTAGTGGTGCTCATTTTGTATATGCACATGCAACATGAAGTAAAAGGAACATGAGAAAAGAGGTGAAACATGAAGTAAAAAGAACAAAATAAAAGAGAACAGAGCTACAGAAAGAAATTGGCAAGGTTGCAAGATGTAAAAAACCACTCTACAATACAGGGCATACCCAATAAAATAGCAAAACAAGATTTGATCAAGCTAGTGCACAGGTCTCCATCCTATAGATTTCTATACAAAACAAAACCTTGTGATGTGGTTTTCCCTCGTGGTAGAAATTTTTATAACTCACCAGCAAAAGACATTTTGGTGTAAAAAGGTGATACTTAGAGTCACAGAATGATTTAAACCTTCAGAGGCAGGGCTGATGTTAGGACAGATTTAGTGTTTGCTCCTGAAGTTCCTAAACCAGGGATCACAGGCTTATTTTAATTCTATCCTTAGATAATCTGTCAGTACTTCAACTACAGCATATACAAAACAACTGAAAATGGATAAACAGCTTAGCCCTCTTCGGGCTCCCAGTGGTCCTTCCATTGACTTCCAGGATTGTTCATCATTTGCTCTTTCTAACGCTACAACGTTCATACAGTTAATGATATATTATCCATGCATTGATCCTTCTAGCTTACAGACATAATGGCTGAGAAAGAGGAATTGACTTTAATTTTCTGCTTTGCATGACATGACAAAAAGATGCCTCTAAGGACAAGAAGGCACTAAGAAAAAGCTGTTTTGGAGATACAAAGCCTTATAAGGACCTTTTCAAGGAGTGAGATCCATGCGGAACTATCAGTGAGAGAGATTAGCACTGAGTAGGGCAGAACAGGGATTATGAGTTAGGAAAAGAAAGTGCAGAGTCTTAAAAGAAACAATCTATCTTTATTGCCTTTTAAATCAATTAGGGAGCAGACCACCAGCATTTCTACATCCTGCTTTTGCTCATGGTACTCATAGATTATGGAAATGTTGACATTTCACTTATACTTGATAAGACTATTTTTTAAAAAAAGGACATTATTTTTAGATGCGTTGCTTTTTTTAAGTAGTGTTATTGCAATGATGGTCTAAGGGTAAAACCAAGGTCAGATGTGTACAAAGAGGTATTGTCTTTTATTAAATTTAAACAGTTGAAAAAATAGACAAGATTTAGAACGTGCCATCACTCTTCTGGTAAAAGGAATAAAACATCCTCAATTTCATCTAGCTAAACTGTGGAGATGAACTACAAGGTGACAGTCTTGTTCAGGCTTACTGGGAGAAAGAAGCATGCAACCTGTCTATGATCTGCACTATTCAAGAGAAGCACCCTTTATGGTTCCTGACTGTGATGAGTTTGGGGATTGATGTTCCCAGAGACTGTAAGGGACAGGAATGTTTTTTCCTCTTTTCTGAGTCTCATGTGTGACAAGCAGCTTTTGACAGTATTTTTATACCTGCAGTGGGAAGTTAGGAGGCAGAGAGGCATCTTGCTGGCTGATGCACACATTCAGGATGGATTAATTCTTTGAAAAAAAGGAGACCTGGAAGAACAGAATCACTGTCTTTATAAATCCTGCAGATGGCATTACTCAAGTAAGCATGTTTGAATACTGCATGAAAAGAAACACATACCTGAATAAAAAATATCCAAGCAAAAAAGCTCCTAACAGTTGGTGTCTTCTACTTTCTAGTATATTTTGCCTTGAATTCAGCTACACTTAGTAACTGTATATAAAACAAAGCTTTGTGTCCTGAAAGCTAACTTCATAGCCTTGCTCTGTAAAAGTCAATAAATAAATAGGAACACTAATAAAAGGTTAGAATTTGGATGAAGAAGTAGGGATTTAATATATGGTACGTAAGTATAGTCTTAAAAAGAAATACTGTTTGGAGACTATTCTGTTCCCATTCTAGTGTAATTAACAGAGATGTGATCACAAACATTTCACAAGGACACTAATCCAGCCAGGCAGTAGAAGCAGTGCTCTCAGTGAGCCAACAATGTCTGAAAAAGTAAGTAATGGCAAATGTTGTGCATTAGAAATCAATGCACAAATACTGCAGTTCTGCAAAATTACATGCCAACTGTGATCAGCCTGGAAATGTGTGGACAAAAAGGGCTAAAACTACAGAGAAACTAATAATTTCAAAAATTTCTCATGTGTTTATATAGTGTTAATTTTCTGGAATGCCTACC